AACAAGAACAAAACGATTTGTTTTGTTTTGTTTTTTGTTACTTACTTACTTACTTATGCCTATCCTTATTTTATTTTTTTGGATATATTATATCCACTCTACCTACTTGAAGTATTTTCATCATCATCTAACTGACCTCATTGTTTCTGTTTTTTTTTTTTCATTCTCAAAATTGGTTATTGGAATTGTAACAATGAAGAAGAAGAAGAAGAAGAAGAAGATAATCATCGTCTTCAGCATTAGCATCGTATCGATGATAACCTTACACACTTTGGTTGTCAAAAAAAAATTTTCTTAGATTGAAAAGATTTGATTGAAAATTTTCAACAACAAACAAAAAAAAATCACCACAGGATAAAACAAAACAAAACTTTTCTCCAATGATGATCATATGCGTGTGTGTGTGATCCAAATTTGTTTTGCTGTTTTTTGCGAAAAACAACCGAGAGTGAATTCTTCTTTTTTTGTTTGTGTGTGATAGTGATTAAGAAAGACAGAAAGAAAAGATCAACATAAGTATCATAATATACAGGTGAAAAGAAATGAAATTCCATGTAATTTTTTTCATGGATATATGAAAAAACACGCAAACTAAAGATATATTTGGAAACAAGTTGAAATGAAAATGACAAGACAAAATTTAAGTTTTTTTTTCTTTCTTTCTTTTTTTGATCGTTAAGATTCCATCGTCGAGTACAATATTAAGGATTAAGAATTATGTCAAGTATGGCATGAATCACTTGTGTTGTAAATGGAATCCGGATTCATTATCATCATCATTGTTATATGGGTTTGGCTGATGACCATCATCAGTTTATCCGATGATATACACACTGACATCGTTTTTTTTCCAATTTGATTTGAAACAAAATTAAAGTTTTGCTTAAAATATTGTTGTTTATTTCACTTTTCATTTTTTTTTTGTAAAAAAATCAAAATTAATCAAATTTGATTTGATTGATTTTTTTTTTCTTGTTTTGTTTTTGTTTTGTTGAAATTTTGTTATTCATTTAAGCTATCTATATTTATTTACGGATGTTTAGCTAAAAAGAAAAAAAAGGTCAAATCTTGTTGAATTAAGGAAGAATTTGTATCATACATACCTGGTGGTGGTGGTGATTGTTACGGTTATCTTCGGTTCATATTCGTAAAGTTCAAGTTTAACAACTTGAAATCGATATTATCTTGTTTTACTAAATTCTCATCCAAAAAAAAGTTTGTCATTGGATTTTTTCTATTCAAACTTTATGTGAAATGTTGACCGAATTAAGAAAAAAACTGGACTTGAAATTAATGAGCAAATATTTTTTTTACCTTGAAACCGAGTAGGTAAACTAAACTAAACGGAAGATAAGGAAATAAAATTTTGAAGAAAAAATCGGCTGGATATAATGAAAAAAGAAAAAAATGTCGTCAAGCATCATCATTCAAATGATGATGATGATCATGGAAGAAAGGTAGGTACAGTAAGCAGGTAGGCAAATGAATAGTTATTTTTTTCTGGTAATTAATATATCATATCGGTTAATGATACAACCATTTCTTCTTTCCTTCTTTTTCTTATTTCCAATCAACAGAAAAAAAATCCCTAGTTTAAATTATTTCCATTTTTTTTCAATAGCATCGTTTAGTTATTTTTTTTTCTTCTTCTTCTTCAAAAATTCACCATCTTTCATCTGGATAATAATGATGATGAAATGTAAAAGGAGAAAGAAGATCAAAAGCATTAAAGGATAATTGTTTATTGCGACATTTTTCAACCTTCTTCTTTAATCAATATGGAGATGATTTTCGTTTCTGTTTAATCAAGATATGAATTCTTTAAACCAAGAAAAAAAATTGTTTATTTTTTAAATCATCAAACTTTAATGGAGGGTAAATAAATACTTCCTTGATGATAAACTTTTAAACTTTGTTTAAAAAAAGATTGTTTCAGTTTTTTGGAATAAAAATGTTATTTTTTACAATAATAATTTACAATTACAAGAAACGTTTATAAATTTTCATTTTTTTTCATAAATTAATTAATCCTATCTGTCAACATCATTACAATAGACATTGATTGAATGCCAAAAATTAAATTAAAATTAAAATTTCAAGGAAAAACCGAAAAAAGAATCATTTTTTTTATTGAATAAATCATGAATGATGAGCTACCGTGTTGTGTGGAGCCAGAAAAAAAAAGATACTAAAATTTTATTAAACTTCTCTGTAAAAAAAAGAAAAGCAAAAAAAATCTTTAATCTCATTTCCGTGTATAAAAAAAAATTATGATAACGAATAAAATAAATTGACGAAAGTTATATAATAAAATTGATAACAAACATTCCTCCTATAAACAAAAATATGTAGGTCAAATAAAATATATTTCCAGAAAAAAAAACATTTAATACACAGACACAAACAAGGGTAAAAAAAAAGCTGAAGTAAACATCTTTTACCATATCCAGGTATCAAAGATATCTATCATCATCATCATCATCATATATTTAGTGTGTGTATAAAATCAATCTTTAAGTATGAAGAAGAAGAAAAAAGAAGAAAAGTAATATGTTCGAATCAAGGTTAAGAGCTGTAAAGAAAAATTCCTCACTTAGTGTTGATGATGAGTGTTGTTGTTCATCCGGTTTGTTATGCCTTTTTTTCTTAACATTTCGGGTATTTTTTCGTTTTGGCTTCAATCATTCAAAATGTAGGGTGTTTATTAAGCAAAAAAAATTTTGTTTGATGGGTCAACAACGATGGATTTTATTTTTACCATTTTTTTCTGTTCGAGCCGGTATTTATATCAACTTTGATCAAAATCATTCAGTGGATTCTTTATATGGATATCATCATATGTTTGTCGTCATATCAATGTCGAACGGCGATATTTATTTTTAATTTAGAATAACAAAAAAAATAGCGGCTAAAAGATTGTTGATTGGTTGTGGTACCAATCGGTGGTACCCTATCTACCTTATCTACTCAACATTATTAGCTTGATTTGAAGATTTGAAGATGTGATCGACGGTTAGACAAATAAAAATAAAAATCACACTATTATTCACTGAAATTAATTTGAGCAGATAATTTGAAGGGAAAAAAAAGAAGAAAGAAACCAATAAAATTATCTCCCTTAACCAGAATTTCAATCGATGTTGATGATCTTGATGGTAGATTGAGTGGATGGAACTTTTTCGTTTTTTTCATTCACCTGTCGTTTATTAGAAGATTCAATCATCTTTTTTTGTTTTGTTTTGTTTTTCGACCATTCGCAAAAGTAAACAGAAAACAAAACTATTGAATTTATCACAACTAATTGATCATATTATATAACACTAAAATGTGTTATATAATAAATTCTAAAATGAAAACAAAACAAAACAAGAACAAAATTCAAACAATATTTGTTTGACCTTTTTTTTCAAATTTCTTTGCTTTGTTTTTCTTCGCGATTATCGATTGTAGATTTGACACATATTTATCGTCTACAATAATAATAATAATAATAATTAGGTCGATAGAATTTCAAATGTTTTTTTTTCTTCATCGATATTTACCAAGATTTTATGATGATGATCGTTTTTGAATAGCCCTTGAATGGACGATGGCCAGGTCGAAAGTTGTTGTTGATCGGTGGGTTGATAATTTCATTCGAAAAAATCATCACCATAGGAAGTTATGTTTGTTTTATGTTGACCTCGAACATTTTTTTTTGTTTCCTGTCAAGATGAATTTTATTTTTGGTCGTATTTATTCAACCTAAAAAAAAAATTTGGAAAATTCCTACCCAAATTCTAAATGTTATTGTGTGAATTCGTCGATAACTCAGAAATCAGAAATATCAGATTTTGAAATTATAATTTTTCTTCTTGATTTTGAGGTCATTATTAGGGTCATCATTTGATTATTATTTAGATTCAATTTTTAATAAGTTAATCTATATAATTCATACTTTAGGCTATAATTTGATTATAATGATCTTGTTTTTTTTCTGTATACAATGAAAAAATCTATTCGAAATTGCTTGTAGTCTTTTTTTCGATTACATAATATTATTATTGAATCATTATTTCGATCACATTATCACAACGAACAAAACGATGATAATGAATTCATTATTATCAACAAAAAAAAAAAGAAGATTTACCAAAACTCCTAAGATAATTACACAAACAATAATGACATTTAAGAACTTTTAAATCATCATCATCATCATCAAAATATTGAGCGAAAAAATTAAAATTAAAATCCGAATTTAATAACAACAACATTCGATTCCGTTCGAATCGATACAATCGATTTTTCATCATCGAAATCAACCAACCAACCAGTTTGTTGTCCATCACCATCATCATAATCAATTTATATCCGATTTACCGTAAATAAAGTTTTTATTCAAATTTTATTTTTGCTTGTTCTTGACAAAATCAGTGCACAAATAATGATAATATTTTCAACAACAACAAAAAAAAATGATAATCGAAAACAATTTTAAAAAAAGAGTGTTTTAATAATGGTTCTATCAAAAAAAAAAGACAACGAATATATTCTGTCGACATAAACATGAAAAAAATCAATGCCTGGAGCCAATATCAGTGTTTTCTGTTTGTGGAATATTCCATATAACTACGGTGTTATAGTCGTTCATCATTTGACAGAGATTTGTGCAATTTTTGAACCAAAAAAAATTTTTTTCCATTAAACGAAATCCGACCAAACATTTTGAACATTTGATATTAGAAAAAAAATGATTAGATTAATTTTGGTTGATTCATTTTGTTTAAATAACATTCGAAAATGGTGATAAATATACATGTTTTGTTCTAATATTTTTTTTGTTTTTGTTTATTTGATTGAGCCAAAGTTTAGAAAAAAAAAATTTCATCCGTTTTCTTTTCTGTACATAATCATATAATAATATATAGGATGGATGGATGTTTTCTTTTCTTTTCATATTATTTGAAATGATCAAACTTTGGATGGATTCAATATTGATAAGACTTGGTTGTTGTCGTCGTCGCCGTCGTCATTTTATCATTATTAAGATTATTATTTTCCTCAATATATGTCATCGTAGAGATTGTAAAGAAAAATCAATAATTTTATATCGTAGGATCAATTTCAACGTATTCATGTCGAAGATGATGTTCATCAACATCAACAATACGATAACCAGATTTTCGAGCAATTTCTCGACGATCAACAGGAGGAATCTGTGCACCCATAGCTGATGTAACAATTAATTCCATTTGTTCAAAATGTCCACCAGCATTACGATGATAATGGCCACAAAATATGGCACGTACACCATTATCATTGAATTTTTTTAACATTCGTTTACGTTCATCGATTGCAATATTAAACTAAAATGATTGAAAAAAACCAAAAATAAATAAAAAAATAAAGGAATTAATCAATAATTTTCATGTTTCAATGGAGAAATGTTGATGAAATTGAAAAAAATTTTGATTAAACAAAATGATTACTTACAATTTCATCATCCGGTTCATCTGGATCATGTATAAACCATGGTATATGTTGAAAAATGATAATATGTTTATAATTATTTTCATTTGCTTCGACTAATTTGGAATCAATCCAACGTTCATGATGTGCGGCCATTTCTTTGGTCATCGAATTATCTTTATAATATTGTGCATTAATAACAATAAACATAACACCATCGACCCAGAATGCAAAATAATCATCACCAAATTCTTGTCGATATTTTTCAATACTATCAACTGTTGGTTGATCAAGTAAATCATGATTACCCGGTAATAATATTAATGGTATTGAATGATCAAGATTTTCATTAAATGTTTGTTTAAAATCATCTAATTGTTTACGTCTTAATGGTTCATTTGGAAAATCATTAACAAGATCACCACAAATAATTATAAATTTTGGTTTAGGTTTCATTTGATTCCATTGTTTAATTGCCATTATTGATAAACGTATCTCTTCATTCCATTTACCAATTGCTGAACGTTTATATTCATCAATACGTGGTCTTGATTCATCATATGATGCTTGATTATAGGTTATTGTTTGAAATTGATGTATCATACCATATTGTGTATCGGCAGCTTGTATAAAACGAAATGGTCCTTTCCATTCAATATTATTTTCTAAATTTTATTGATTGATTGATTGATAAGCGATTATAATTAGGTAAAATTATTATTCAAAACAAACTACCACCAACAACAAACATATACTAACCTTTTTCCAGACCAATATAACGATGATGAACAGCACGTTTAAATGGATCCATTTGGATCAATGAATTATTATTATTATATTCACTGTTGTTGTTGTTGTCAATCGTCACCAATGACTGATTTATATGATAATTCTTTTGATGTTGTTGTTGTTGAAGATGCTCCTTTTGACGCTGTTGATGTTGTTGTTGTTGTTGTCGTGAATATAACAATAAAATACCAGTCACTATAACGATGACGATGACGATTATGATGATGAATAAAACAAGAGTATAAATGTACCTGTTCATTATATGAATATCAAAATCATCATCATCAAAAAAAAAATAATATCTTATTTAATAATATTTTATTATCAATCAAAGAGGAATGGCAAAGAAAAAGCCATAATGAAATTTAACAAAAAAAAAGAAAAAAGACAATATCATCAATTTATGGATGTGCAATTGTTACATACACTCTAATAACTAATCAACACAGACATAGACACAGCTTATTATGAATATATATTTGTTTTTCTATTTCGGAAATATATGTTTTTTTTCTGACATTAAACATGGAAATATTTACTTGTATGTGGCTGGCCTGGCTTGTTTTGATTTTATTTCATTCAATCGGATGTGTATGGAAATGAACGATTTACTGTAAGATAGTTGTTGTTGTTGATGTTTGTCGAATTGAATCAATATATATAAATCATATTTCAAAAATCAAATTCAATTCAATTCAATCAAATCAAAATCAATTGAAATCAAATCAAATCGATCAATCAATTATTAGGATATTTTGTTTTTGCTCGTATCGTATCACATTATCGTATCAAATGGTTTTTTTTTTCTCTGTTGCCTTTTTCTTCTCCTCTCATTATCATATATCCATTCATTCTTAATTTTTATATGGAAAAGATGATGGAAAAAAAAGTACATTACGTTCTGATTTGTTGTTGTTGTTGTCGTCGTTTGATGTTGTTGATTTTGTTGTCGATGTCGTTGTTTATCGAATCACAACGATCAATCGTCGATCATATTTATTAGTATTGTCAAGGTTTCATTATTTCGTATCATCGTATCGTCATTGGATTTTGGTAATTCTCGTTTTTGTTTCTATTCAGATTAATTTACATGAATGATTTATATGATGATGATGATTGGCCATATTGGTTTTAATTCATATTTTTTTTATTATAAGTTTCAAATAATTTTGTTTGTTCGTTTTGGTTGTCTGGTTTTGAATTATTTTATTGATCAAAAAAAATCGATTGATCGTCGTCGTCGTAGTTATATGTTGTTTGTTCATGAAGGATTATGAAAAAGAAAATAAAATCAGGGATAAAATTCATTAAAATTAATTAGATTTTTCTATTTTGAGCTTTAATTATGCTTTTTTTCTTCTCTTTTTTTTCAAAAGAGAATATCAAAAAAATCATATGATTTTTTTGAAAAATACTCACGAATATTCTGTTCGTACGATTCAAGTTATTCAATCGAATAAACAAATAATAAAAAAAACAAGGGGATCCAAAAAGATTCATCCATTCTCAATTGGATTTTCTTGTTTAAACGTTGAAATTGGAATTTCATATTTCAATCGTCAGATGGCTTTAGTGTATAGGTATTTTGTTCCTTTTGTTTCGAATTATTTTGGAAAAAAAAAAGTTGGTCGCAATTTTTGTTTTTCCAATCAATTAAACAAATCATTATTATTATCGTTATTATTTTTTTTTTGTTGGTAATTAATCCAATTTTCAAACGATACAATGGTAAATAATGTAGACATAAATTGATCATAAAATTTAAAAAAAAAATTTGAGATTGTAATTATTTATTATTTTTTTCACTATAGTGTGAAAGTGTTGTAAAATGAAATTACCATATCCACCATATGATGGAAAATGGTTGAATTCATTTTCAACAACAAATAAAACTATATCACTATCACCGACACCAACAACAAAAGCAACAGCAACAACAGGAGGCAATGTTCAAATATCCGAAATGGATTTGGTTCTGAAATTCCATCGACCATCATCACCGCCGCCACCGTCATCACCGCCACCACCATCATCACCACCACCATCAACACCATCGAAATCATGGAAACAAACGGAAATACAACCCGAAATGATATCTTCACCAAATCAAATACGAATCGGAATTCAAACTAGATCACCGGTAATTACAAATCAACAACAAAAAACAAATCAAAAACAACATTTGTCGAAACCACTTCGATCATCACAAAAACCGATTCGACCTGATTATCAAATTCAACAAATTGATTGTTTTCCAATACTTTACGAGATTCTTGCATTATGTCCACGACAATATTGGCAAAATTTGAGTCGAATTTTCATCACGGATCATGGAAAAATTGCCATAATGTTTCAACGAAAATCATCATCCTTTCCAGCAGCAATTGTTTGGTTTGCTAATTTTGCCTATCCATTATCAACATCATTTGCATTACCTTCAAATCATTGGATCGCATTGAATGACAATATCGTACAATTGGAACAAATCATTTCCTTACAATTCGATCGACCATATCTATTTATATTGAATCGACAGTTCAAGATTTTCTGTCTGGATTTATTTTCCGAATCACATCGAACACAATTACCAATAGAAATGATGAATGATCATTTTCAAAAATTTATGGTTGGTTCTGGTTTTTTGGTCGCTTTGAATTCTAATTATTTAAATCCAATTGTTTATGTTCATTATTATCATAATAATTATGATTATTCATCAATATCGTTACCGGTTATTTTCGATCCAAATAATAATAATCCAAATCTTTTTCTATTTGAATCAAGTAAATTTCTTATTCGCAATGGTAATCTTGAAGATCGATTTGTTGATATTTCAACTTTTCAAGCTGGATTTGCCGTTCTAACTGAAAAGCAATTAATCTTTTTATTTGGTTATTGTTCGAATCAAGTTCGTTTATCATTTCCATCCGAATTTTTATGTATCGATTTGAAAATAATGTTTTTTCGTTCATTTAATGAATCAATCAAATCATTTCGTATGAACAAAATGTTTTCATCAAAAAATCAATTAATTCTTTTATCAAATAATTATAAAGTGTTTGTAATCAATCTCGAACGACAATATGAACATGAAATACCTAATACGATCAATACAAAATCATATGCACAGCATCAATTTTCAATATCTATCCTAAATGATAAACGTAATTTTCGACATATTTTTGCTCATTATTCTATTAATGATTTTATTGTCATTGGCCATGATAATAATCAAAATGTTGAATGGCGAACATGGTTGGGAACAATTGAACCACAACCAATCAATTTTCAATCAATTATTTTACGTAAAACAAAATTATTTCGATCGATTTCTGATGCATATGCAATGTTTGTTAATGGTGAAACACCTTCATTTGTAAAAATGGACAATCAAATAATGAATAATTATCGTGAACAATATCGATTTAATGATCCAACTAATGGTAATTCGATTCGATTAACAATACTAAATCGAATTTATTTTGTTGATATTTCAAGTCTTTATAAATGGAATTTCGAATCTTTGGAAAAATTTTTAATTAATTTTCCAACGAATATAATACATGCATATTTACGTTATCTACATAATGGTATTTTTATTATTGATTATGATTATCTTCCTTGGTTAAAACGTTTTATTGATTCGATACAAAAATTTGATCAATTATTTTATAATTCAGCCATGGCTAGTAATATTGACCATCAGAACAAACAACAAAAACAAAAACAACAACAACAACAACAACAACGACAACAAGAAAATGAAAAATTTTTGATAATAAAAAGATTACAAATTTCTAATGAACAACAACCGGAAATGGTACAAACTTCACCTTTACCACCAACAATATTTATACCTCAACAATCCCCGGTAAAGGTTGAAATACCCAATGAAAATCCTGTGACATATTTCGATCAATCATCAATATCACAATTACCGTTACCATTACCATCACAATCACCGGCGCCGTTATCATCAATTTCACCATCACCAGTGCCAATACAATGGCCATTACCGTTACGACCACCATCGCCATCACCAATGCCGTTACAATGGCCATTACCATCTCGACCAACATCGCCATCACCAGTGCCGGTTCAATGGCCATTGCCATCGCAGCCACGATCGCCAACGCCATCGCAATCACAATCGCAATCGCCATTGCCACCACCAAAACCACAATCACCAACGTCAGCACCATCACCAGTGGTGGCAACCCTACGAAAAACAACGATTCGACAAAAAATAGCATCACCAACATCCAAAGAAGAAAAATCGGAACCACCTACAACAAAGATTGTTCAACCTATACAACCACTATTGAATCGAATAGAAGATTATACACAATGGCCAATTTTGAATGATATTTGTAATTATGATCCAAGATTTTTGACAGAAAATTTAGAACAAATATTCATTTGTGATAGTGGCCGTATAGCCATCATTCAACAATTATTTATTAAAAATTTTGGAATGACAAACGAAAATCAACAATATCATACGGCAAAATCAAATATGATGTCGGTAAATCATTATCTTAGTTATCGACATACAGCATGGTTTGCTACATATGTTTATGAACGTAGTCCAATGGTACCATGGATTTATCTAGATCATCTTGATCAATCACGTCGTATTGTTTGGATTTCCTATGATAATGGTTGGTTATTTACATTGGATAATCAACATTCTCTTCGATGTCGAAATATTTTTGTAGCAAGTTTTACTGCAATACCAGCTATGAATGAAATTGATTGTGTTGAACGTTTTCGAAAGTTATTTCCATTGAATGGCCAAAAAGAATGGCCAAATATTAAACGATTTTCTTCTGGTGAAGGTTATACATTATTATTATCAAAATCGAATGAATTATTTTTATGGAAATGGACAACAAATCTTTCAGTTATATCAAATCCTGAACGATTACGTATATGGGAAGGATTTCTTACACATGAAGATTTTGCCAACACATTATTCACTGCAGAAGATAGTGATGATGATCGAAAATTAATTGATATTGCTTGTTTTCAACAAGGATTTGCATTATTAACACCAGGATTAATATTTTTATTCGGTCGTATTAGTCCACGACTTGATTATGGAAGAGATTATCTACCGATTATTATACGTGATACGTTCAATCGGATAATCGATTTTGAACAAAAAACATCAAATGAACCATTAAAATTTGCAAAAATTTTTGCAACACGTAATCGTCTACTATTATTAAGTGAAGATGGACAACTTTTTTTCCTACAAGTTGATTTATTTGAAGGAGATGATCCAAATACCTATCGATTACCTAAAGTTCATCCACCATTATTTCCAATAATGCACGATCAACGTATGCGTGTTACCGATGTATTTTCTGCAAATGATTGCTATAATTTTCTTGCAACAATAACCGATAAATATCATAAAAATCGTACACGTATTCTAGTATTTTTAAGTAGACAATCGGAAAAAACGGGTTTAGAATATCCATTTTGTAGCCTAGTTGAAACATATGGCCGTTCTATACCGGATGCATTTTCATTATGGATTAATGGTGAAACACCAATGTTAACATCATTACCACCATCAATAAGTCCAACAACTTTACAGGAACAATGTCAAGGATTTCAGGATCCAAGTAATCCTAGTCATGAAATAATTTCTATACATGGTCGTGGATTCTTTGTAGATCAACGTCGTGTTGATCTATCAAGAAAATGGCCAGCCGAAAGATTTACAGAAATATTTTCACAATATCCAATAAATTTTGCACATGAATATCTTCGATATCTTCATACTGGACGTTTTGAATTGGATTCATCATTTAATCAATTACAAAGACGTTTTTTTGCTGATATTCAAGGTTTAGATCCGAAATTATTCGAAAAAATGGCCCTACAAAGTTGATTGACATTTAATTGATTATTATTATTATTATTATTATTTAAAAAATTAATAAACTTAATAAACTAAACAAATAAATAAATTTAATTAAAATTTCAAATAATAAAAAATCACAACAAAATGGTTAAACATTTTTTCAGTTCGTTTATTATTTTTGTGTCTTATTCTGCTGAAACTACTGAAAAAAAAGAAAGAAAGAAATAGCAAGCCAAAATAGGGGGGAAAATGCCAAAACAAAAATTTGATTTAAAAACCGATTCACAATTAGATCAAGAAGAAACAATTGAATTAATTGATGGTGAAGATTCAAATCTTAAACAAACATCATCAACAAAACGAACATCAAAAAAACGTAAAACAAATATTTTGAAAAGTATATTGAAAACATCGAAATCAAGATTAGGTGGTAGATCGATAATAAAATTACCAAGACCATCATCATTGACAAGAAGAAAATCATCGATAATAACATCGGCAAATACAAAGAAAAAAAATACAAATACACCAAAATCAATGTCAAAATGTTCAACACAACAATCACCACAAAATAGACGATCATCAAAATGTAAACGAAAAAATGTTAAACGTAATCTACGTAATGTAAAATCAAGAGATTTAACACATTTACATTTGCTAGTTGAATCAAATTTTCGACCAAAAACCGATGTAGTATATTCATCATTAATATTTCGTCATATTCCATTTAATTGGATTAATGAAGAAGATAATGATGGTTGTGTTGATACGATTAAATTTAATGAATCAGATTTAGAAGATTCACTTGTTTCATATGATAATTGTTCACCAACAGTATCGGCTAAATCAAGTCGATCAATCGATAATAATAATAATAATAATGATGATTCATTAGAATTTATTACATTAGAATCGATACAAAATGAATTTAACAATGTATATCGTAATGATATTTTCAATGCTAATTTCAAACCAAATAATAACAAAAATTATTCGGATAATGATGATTAAAAAAAGAAAATATATATATTTTCATCAATCAAAATTCAAAATTTAATACTTTATAAAAAATATAATTAAAAAAAATTCAGTTTTTTTTTGTTGCTAAAATTCGTTGATTAAATGCATTTTTTTTTCGTATTGAGAATCATGTAAGAACGATTCATTCATTTTTTTGTTTTGTTTGTCATTCGATGTTATATTCAAAACCACCATCAGTATTTCGTCGAATATAACGTTTATCGATTAGCTGTATTAATCGTGTTTGTATATCGTTCAATGAAATATTATTCTGTGATGGTGATGATGACTGTTGTGTTGATGGCGGTGTTGATTTATGATTTCGATTCAATAGTGATGGTGTTGATTTATGTAGATTTGAAATTGAAGGTGTTGGAGGTAGATGTTTACGTGATGCATTTGTCATTTCTAATCGAACAGCATGATAAACTGAAGAAATATTCGGTAAATAACGTAAACGTTTTAATACACGTACAATTGCGGCATCGATTTTGATACTTGAATCTAAATGATTTGGACTTTCGATTACGGATGTTGATGATGATGTACGTGCTGGTGATGGTGTTGAATTTTGATTTGATAATCTTGTTGAAGATGATGATAATAATTGTCGATATTTGGCTGATTCAACGGATGAATTAGGTGTCGGTGGTTCAACTGCCGCTGCTGCTGCTGATGATGATGATGAAGGTGGTGGTGGTTGATGTCTTCGATATGTTCGTGATCGATGATGCGTTACTTGATTATTATCATTTGATTTTACTGTTTTTGTACATGAACTTAAAATATTTGTTAGATTCCAATCTTCAACAGATGATGCTGACATCGAATAGACTAAATCAACGCCGTCGGTCAATAACTGTACAATAATGGGAAAAATTTTGACCATTTCCTTATCAAGTGGTTGCTGTTTAACATTAATAAAATCAATATATTCATAAGCTATTAATCGATTCGAACATTGATTTGTATCGATAAGTTGTCGAAATCGTTTTTCATCATTCAATTCGAATAATAATGATTCTAATGTTGGTTTTTTTGATGATTGTTGCATATTACGATGATTATCATTGTTGATGATAATTGGTCGAATAAGACCACAATAAATCAATGATAATAATGCAATACGAAGATTATTTTCTTTTTGAAAATGTGTTTCATCAACAATCATTTCAAATGATAATTGTTGATTACGTCGATTAAATTGTTCAATAACGGCAAGCTGATGTAATGACATTAATAATGTTACCGGTTGTTTTAATAAAGAATCATTATCATGATTATTATTATTATTATTAGATCTATCCAATGTTATCATTGAAACTTCAGCTGTTGAATATTTTGTATTAAGAAATAATTTTTGATTTTCATATTGTTGTCGAAATAAATATTCTAATGATTCGAATGATCGTGATAGCCGGGATGGAATCCAACAATGATCAAATTCAGTCAATTTCCATGTTCCTGCATTCAATATGGCTGATGATTCAAGAAAATTTCTAATCATTCTTCGTCGTCTATTATTATTATTATTGTTATTCATATTAACCTTTACAAATGAATGTACATAATCATTGGCAATATTTTTAAAATCATTAAGATTTTGTAGAAAACTTCTTGATTGACCATCACCTTTCATTGACATAAAATTTAAACGTATAACATGATTCATATCATTCATCATATCCATTTCTTGATCATTTGAAAAATATGATAAATTTGTTAACATACGTTGTGTAAAATAATGTTTTGTAAAATCAAAAAATAGATTTATATCTTTTATATAAACAATAATAAAATTGATTCGATTTAATAATTCAATACGTGTTTCAAATTCTACCGATATAATCGTTTGTAATGACATTATTATTGAATCTTTACAAAGTAGATCATGCATATAGAATGCTAATGCTTGTGAAACATTTGTATCAATTTTCATTAATTCATAATGATATTTATCAATTAATTTGGAAAATGGTTTCTTTTTCATTGCTAATGATTTGTTTGTTCGTTTACCGTTATTATCTGTTATATCATTTGTTTCTTTAATATTGAATACTTTATTCAAAACATGATCCCAATGATCATGTTCATGTAATAATGCCTGAACAAATTCTATTGCTTCAAAACGGCTAACACAACGATATTGATTGGTAAACCAATTGATACGTTCACCATGATATTTTATGAGAAAATCAATAAATTGATTAATTAAAATATTTTGTTTTGAAATTAAAAATTTTTCCGCTGTTATATTCATCATTAATGAATAAAATTGTGTCATACGATCATAGAATTTATGATTTAACATTGATTTAAATGATCCATCATTTTCATTATTATTACCGATGATTAATCGATTAGCATTGTTAATCAATAAAAATTCAATTGTAAATAAATTAATTTGTTGTAATGATTCTTCAGGTAAAATTAATACCGAATTGATAAACCATGATTGCATTTGTATAAAATTCATTAAAAAATTTAAATATTCTAATGGTGCTAATTCATTCATCAAATGATTTGACATTTGTACGAGAAATGCTTCCAAATCTTCTTCTAAAAATGGTATCAGAAATACTTTATAATAAGTAGCCTGATCAAAACCAACATCCAATAATGTTTGTATTAAATTTTTGATAACAATATAATGTTCATCTTGAAGCATTTTTATAACACGATTATGTTGAAATGAGGGCCATCTAATTAATGAATCCGTTTCTAATGGTAATCGTTCGGATGGTTTTCTACACCAAAGATATTGTTGTATTTGTCTATGTTTTTCTAATAGATAATCAATAATTAATGGCCGCCAATATTGTGTTATAATTGATGATGATTGTTCGAAAAAAATTTCTATAAATATTGTTCGTGTTAATTCTTCAAGCATCATTCGTCGATATCGTTGTTGTTTCTGTTGTTGTTGTTGTTGTTGTCGTTTTCGTCGTCTTCGTTCAACATATTGAAATGTTGCCAATAAAAATGGTAATACATTTCGTTTAAATTGTGACCAAAATTCAATCAATATTTTAGCAATATTAATTGTTGATTGATTTCTTGATTGATATGAACCAAATTTCCATACAGTTGGTTTACAATTACTTGTTGATTGTAGATCATGTTCAAGATTTTCGGCAAATTTTCCAAATGCTTTTGTTGCACATTCCGAATAAATATCATAAATATAATCAATTGGATCTTTATCAATTGATGATAATTTTGTTATCTGTACAACCATATCATAAAGATCATTGAATAATAATCGTAATGTATTATTATAATAATGAACTGGATTTGGTCGTCGTAAATCTGTTTGATAATTTTCAAAACAAGCCATTATTGCCGATCTAAAACGTTCTATTAATCGTCGTTGTTGTTGTTGCTGTTGTTGTTGTTGTTGTTGTCGTCCACCATCATCAATATCATTCATTATCTGCGTTAATAATATCTACGTACAAGTTCAATGTACAAAAGTTTTAAATAGAAAAAAAAATTTAAATTAAAAAAAAATCAACCACCTTTAAAAATTAAACCACTAAAAAAAATTGATATTTCCATTCGATTTGAGACCCTGTATTTTATCTGAATCCAGCCGATTTGTTGTACAAACACCCCCTTTAGTTATGAAATGGCCAACACATATAAATGCATTAAATAAAAATCAATCAATCAATCAATTTTTAATCAAAATGGAGATTCATTATTAGTATTTTTATTTAATTCAAATATAACATGTTTGTTTTGTAAGGTAATATTTTTTATTCTTTTGTTTCCTTTTTTGTTTATTATTTCTTTCATTTTTTTTTCGTTTCGTTTTGTTTTGTTTCAAATCGTGTTTGATCGATTGATGATGACACTCCCTCCACCAAAGTTTTTTTATATTACCGGAATTTCTGTCATTTTTCGAATGACCCTTTTTTTCGAAAAAAAAATTGAGTCATACAACATAGATAATGACTGATTAAATGGAAATAAAATCTGTGATAATGATAATTTATGATTAAAGAAAATGCATTGCGTTTTTATTTCAATATCATCATTTATTATGTATGTGATTTTCTAAATCAAAACAAATTAATAAAATTTAATGGAATTTCAGTGAAATAAAATTTAATGGAATTTTGTTTCACTGAAATCTTCTTTGAAATCATCTTTTCTGATTGCTTGTTTAATTAATGATTTTTTATTATCATTGATTAGCATCACCTTTGGTTACCCGGTTACAATTCATTTATGATTATTATTATTATTATTATTTTGTACAGTGTTTAACATTTTATAAACAAAATTTTCCATATCATCATTATTATTTATATCACAGTCATATATTTTATAATTATCATTTGTTAGTGTACGTTTAAAAAAATTAATAAATCATGCAAAAATCAATCAAAATTTTTATAACAATAATCATTATCGGTATTAGTATCACTATTATTGGTCTGTTACTTTATTTTAATCCAGATTGGCCGGATAATAATGATAATGATGATCGAATGTTTAAACGAGCTCATCATCGAACATATGAAGGATTCGAAAAAGGTATGTTTTTTTTTCAAAAACAAAAAAAAATTCTTCCTTAAATTTTTTTGTTTTATTTTTTTTAATTTTTTTTCACAAATATCTTATCCATTAAAGATTATAATTTAGAATGGAAAAAAGATTTTTTCTTCATTCAAGCTGCCGATCCACAATATGGTTTGATGGAAAAACTAGAAAATCCTAATCTAATTGTTTCGAAAAATTGGACCAATGAACGTGAATTGCTTACAAAAGCTATTAAACAATGGAATGAAATGAATCCAAAACCTAGATTTGTTGTTATTTGTGGTGATTTAGTTAATGATCCACCATTCCAAAATCAAACAAAACGTCGTGAACAATTAAATGATCTGAAAAAAGATCTTCATCAATTAGATCAATCAATACCATTGATTTTATTACCCGGTAATCATGATCTAATGGATAAACCAACATTAGAATCATTAAAACAATATACCGATGAATTTGGTGATGATTATTATTCATTTTGGATCGATTCAATTATGTTTATTGTATTGAATACACAATATTATAAAAATCATGATCAAATGATTAATGAATTTAATGAACAAAATAAATGGATTGATGAACAATTAATGGATGCTAAATCAAATAATTATACTCATGTAATCATATTTCAACACATACCATGGTTTTTGAAGAAAATCGATGAACCAGATATGGACTATGTATGACTTGATATCATCATTCTTGTTATTAAAAAAAATTGATTCAACTAATTTGTTTTAATTTTTCATTTTCATTAATAGAATACAATTGCATCAAAAATTCGACAACCATTAATGGAAAAATTTATCGATGCAAATATTCATTATATATTTGCTGGTCATATGCATCAAAATTTTGAAGGTGAATTCTTTATCAATGATAATCGATGGTTAAAAATGATAACAACATCGGCTATTGGTGCACAATATCATGCAATCGATACAGAACCTCCCAGTAAAAGTGGTTATCGTATCGTTAATGTTACACGTACAAATATTCAACAAAAATATGTCCAAATTGAAAAAGAATAGAAAACTAACAAAATCTAACAAAAATACAAATTTATTTATTGCTCAAATAGTTGACAAATCATAATTATTATGATAATTATTTTATTATTGAATTATTTTACAAATTAAATTAAATTATTTTATTTAAAAAAAAATCCAATAAAAATTATTGTAAATGTAACATATCCCAGCCTTGATTTTCAGCCGAACCGATAAGAATAAAAACTAAACCGGATACAATACGTAATGTTGCCGTAAAATACCAAACAATCATCCATTGTTTATAAGGATGTGTTGTATCTGCATCCAACATTGCACCAATAACATAAGGGCCAATAAATCCATTAGTCATAGCAATCATATTGAATAAACCAAATATTGTGGCCGTAAATTCTGTAGTTAGATCAGCCGGTAATGGAACGATACCACCAGATTGTAGGCCTAACAATGACATCGATATGATCATAACAAATAAAAACATTCCAGCATTTGGACCAAGTGATGGTACAATAAACAAACCGATACTTGAACCAAATGCAGCCAATGCTTGAAATGATTTACGTATTTTAGTTTTTGAAAATCTTCCACGTTTAATAATTATATCGGCAATGATACCACCAAAAAATAAGCTTAAACTTTCGGCCGTGTAAAGAGCGGAACCGAAAAAACCCGTTGATTCGATTGGAATTTTCATTACATTATGCATATAATCAGGTAATTTTGTCATCATAACAGTAATAGCCCACATCATTGAAAATTGACTGAAAATTCCAGCATAAACAGCTGGACTTCGAAGAAATTGTATCCATGGAACTGGTAATTTTTTACGATTTTCATTTACAGTATTTATATTATTTCGAATATAATCAATTTCATTTTGACTTATTTTGTTACTATCTTCTGGATTATTCGAAATGATTAACCAATATAATATGGTAATAATCGTTGCAATAATACCGGTAACATAAAAAACTGATGGCCAACCACCAGCAAAACCATGTTTACAAAGCCAACCAGATAAACCGGATGCAATTATTGTACCAAGATTACCACCAATATAAGCCATTGATGTAACTGTTGAACGTTCATGATCCGGTATCCAATGTGCAGCCAATGCAAATGCACATGGAAATATACCTGCCTGTAATGTACCCATTAATACACGAGATGCAACAAACCATCCATAATGTTCAGCTAATAATGGTGTTAAAAAATTAATCAAAGCAGTCGATGCTAAACCAATTGTTCCAAGTAAACGTGGACCAATAATTTCAGTCAAACGTCCGGTAATTAATTGCAGGGCAAAATAACCATAAAAAAATGATCCCAATATAACACCTTGTGTTTTTTCATTCCAATCAAAATGTTTAACACTTGTTGTTGTTGTCTCATTATTCGTTGAATTTTTATTATGATGTTTAACCATTTCGACGATTGCAGTCGATAGATTCATACGGCCAAAATATGCCATCATTGTTGATAGCATAATCAATGCGGCAACTAAATGTCTATAACCGAATTTCATCTTGATTGATTGATTATTGATCATTCTATAAATGAAATGGAAAAATATATTTTAATAAAAAACAACAAACAAAAAAAATCCAGAAAAAACAACAAACCAAATAATCAAATCGTGTGATCGACAGAATCGAATGCAGAAATCAATTGAAAAGAAAAATCAAATTTTTTCATTTATAAAAAAAATCGAAAGATGATACATTGCAGGTAATGTATTTTCTCTTTCTCTTCTATCACTCTCTCTCTCTATAGAAATTAATGGATTGTTTACTTTTTTTTCTGTTATGTTTGGTTTCAATCAATCAATGATGATGATGATGATGATAAAATCTTTTTCGATAGGCAATCCCGAAAAAAAAGTACATACTTATTTGTCCATGATGATGAATGTCTTTTAAAACAATCAATGTACAATATTTTTTTCTGACAGTTTAAAAAGAAAAACTGAAGAAGAAAAAAAACGCCGCCTCATAGTAACCATGTGGAATTGGAAAAAAAAATTTTTGTTATCTCAGCTAATTACCATCATTATTATTTTTATTTTATTTAGAACAATTTGATGATACCGATAATGATTAGATAGAAGAAAAGGAGAAAAAAATGTTACATTCAAAAGAAAAGAAAAGAGAAAAAAAAATCAAATTTAAAATTATCCACCCATCAATAAATTGATGCTAAATTATTTGATGATGTTGTTGTTTTTTGTGTGTATTTTTTTATAATGAGAATAAGAATTGAATTTTAATTCAATTTAAATTCAGTAAATGTGCGTTATTATGATCTCGATTATGATAAGATAAGATATGCAAATTTATGAAAAAAAACTGGCTGTGTTTGTGTTTTTTTTTCATTTCCAAACGATTATTATTTGAATTAGTCAGAATTGGATGATCAACATCGAATCTGTTTGAGTATCATGGCAAAACCTTTTTCCTGTTGATCAGAATCCGTATGGAATTGTATGATCATTTTATCGTCATTAAAATCGAATACACCTAATAAATGAAAAAAATTAGAAATTTAGAAAAAAACAAAAAACAAAAAAACATACGAGTAGTATCCATAGGCAGTTTACCACAAAGTCGTAGTAAATGATTAATTTCCAGATAATCTTTTGTACAGGAACGTGATTCTTCCAATGAAAACATTTCGAAACGTATCTCCAATGAACAGATATCTTTGTTTACTTTTTGTATCACATAATTACAATCTAAAAATGGTTCATATTGTAATTGTGATGGTAGACTAAATTGTGGACTTTGAATTTTAACAAATTCTTCACTGATTATTGATGATGGATAATTGGCAGTTTCATCCAAACCGGTGACCATCATCATTGGTGCCGATGATGATGATGATTGTAATGTTGAAGTTGAATTTGTTGATGCTAATTTTGGACATGATTCAATAATGGCCGGACCAAATTCATCTTCCATTTCGACATCATTATTATTTGAACGACTTGTTAATGATGATTTTCGACAATTTTCATCAATTTGTCTTATTTTCAAACGAAATCCATTAAAACTGGATACATGAGGTGAATTGACCGATATGAATCGTAAAGGAATTTCATTTAAAAATTTTGGAAAATTTATAGCTATTTGTTGACCGGATCTTTGTCCACAATAACGAATACCGTCGATTTCAATAAAATCATTCAAACATTCACCAACAGGACGATTTCGTTGTCGTTCTCTTTGTTCTGCTATTTCCTCATTTGGATATTCATCAGACCGAACTGGTGAACGTTGATTATCACCAGGACCAAAATAATTTTCATCACCAACATTGAATTCTTCAAAATTGATTTCCAATCGGCAAACATTACGATTAGCACGAAATATTTTATATAAACAATCCAAATTACTTGGATATTCAAGAGGAAAATTATCACTTTCAAAATAGGTTTCCATAGCAGTTGTTGTTTGACATAAACGACGATTTGGTGAAAGCATACCCGGAATTAATGTCGTACTTGATTGATTTAAATTAATCAATGCTTGTGGTGCAATATCTTGTGGTCCATTTGAACTTGCATATGGTGGTTCACTTGTCCTAAATCGTTCTAAAGATGTTGTTGGCAATGGTGATGATGTAACAGCTGACATTAACGATGATGTAGTCAATAATGTTGATGGATGATTTTGTTGTTGTTGCTGTTGTTGTTGTTGAAATTGTCGACCAATTGCCATGACCATTGCATTCAATGTCGTAACATTTGATCGTTGTTCATTACAGGAATTCGGTATCTGTTCAATACGTGCTTCAAAACCAGCGCTTGTAATTTCACGGTCTGAATTGAATATCAATCGAATATCACGTGAATAGCCATAATAATTTATAACTATCGTTAAATTGAAAATTAAAGAAAAATTTTTGTCAAATGATTAAAATGAAATTGAAAAACTTACCACGAACTTCAGGCTGGCTGAAACGACCACAAAGCCTTTCACCTGTTGGTTCAATATGAAGATAATCATTACGACAACCAGTTGTATATTCTAAATCTAATGATAATAGATGCAAATGAATTTGACAAACATTTGTATCGGATTTAAGTATAGAATAAATACAACGTGTTACAACCGGATAATTATTCGGAAAATTTGGACTACGAATATATTCTACAGGTCTTGTAATTGTTTGATCACAATTATAAGCTGGCATGACATTCATTGTATCGATAGCAGCTGCAGCAGCCGGTATCTGATCAAATGAACGGAAACGTTCGTTCATTTTTGGTAATCGTTGAATTCGGGCACTTGATTGAAATTCTGGTTCGTCTGGTTGAAAATTTGATGATGATGATGGCGGTATACGATTGAATGAAACAGCATTCATATCTTGCGGTGTATGTATGGTGAATGATCGACCAACGTTATCTTTTTGAACGAATGTTTTTCCTTTTTTCAAATAAGGTATCATATCAACCGGTTTCATTGGTGGTATCCTAGTTGCTAAAGTTCCGTTTGCATAGAATAACGGTATTGTACCGGAAGAATCTACATTTCTTGGATCATTCAAATTGTTTGGTATGTTTGTATTCATCCAATATGGTGGTGGTGTTGGATAACCAGGAACATTGACATTTGATGGCATTAGATTTTTACGACCAAATTCCCCAGATCCCATTTTGATAACATTAGGACCGTTAGGATATATACTGCTACCAGGTCGTAATGGTGGTTGATATGGCTGTAAACCACCGGTATTATTATCATATGTAAAAACAGGTGTAGGCGGTACATAACCGGCCGGTATGTTTGGATCATTTGCTGGAACATAAACATTCGTATTCCATGATTGTGGTGGCCCTGTTGTAGGAAATTGACCACTTGTATTATAATTGTAATTATCACAACTATTCGGTACTTGACGAATAACAATTTCATAGCCACGATCTTCGATTTGATCATCGGAATGAAAATAAAACATACTAGTACGATCATGATATTTAGGAAATTGAAATATTCGTCGAAATTTATGATGACCACAGATACGTTTTCGATCCGGTAGCTGTAGATAATCTTTTCGACAATTTTCTTGTGGATTATTCGGTTGTTCAAGATTAAATTGTACAAGATCCAATTCAAATTCACATGTTTTATCATCCATCGGTTGAACGAAATAGACACATTGTTGTCGTTTACCATAATATTGTGGAAATCCGGGAGAATAAACACGATCTACCGTTGAATATTGACCGGAAATGATACGATCACAACGTTTTGATGGATAATCTATCTTCGTCTTACAAGTATTCGGTAGCTGTTTAACTTCGATCCAGAAACCACTACCATCGGGTGTTTGTTGTCCATCACTTATGAATTGCATGAATACATATTCCGATGTTTCAGGAAATTCAAAGTATTTTTTCAGCTTATAATCACCACTCATTGATTGTGTATAATAACCACAAAGACGATCACCATCAGGTAGTATAAGATAATCACCATAACAATTATCGGTCAAATCTTTTTGAGTATTCGGTGTTTGTACATCAAAATGATGAAATATTAATTCTAATCCACAAACATCATCATTAGCTTTTTTCACTGTATACATGCATGTATGATTTACTGGATAACCGAATGGATAACCTGGTGAACGAATTTCACCTTGATATTCACCAAGATATACATCACAATATGATGCCAAATAGATTGGTCCAACTTTACTGGCATTAGTATGTGGTGGATAAATAGATGAAGGACGATTTTGATCATAAGGTATTTTCATATCACTACCACCGCTATTGAATCCGGGTCTTTTATCTGCATTCTGATAGATTACACCACTCGAATCTTGCAAAGATGGACGATTATTATAAATTGGATGTTGTGGTGGATATAATCGTTGACCATATCCAGTATTAATGCCTGATGTTGGATATGGTTGTTGTTGTCCATGATATCCTGGATATTGTCCAGCTGTATTTATTGGATATTGACCATTCATTGGATATGGTTGTTGCTGTGGTGGTGACGGAGATGATGGATAAAAACTACCACCTGATGTTCCTGAAAAAGGTTTCGGTGAATAATGATTAATACCAACAGTGGATGGAAATTTATTGCCATAAGCAGGATTATAAGAACTACCAGTGTTAATTGGAATTTGTGATGATGGATATGAACCACTACGACCAGGTTGATAAACAGGATTTTTTCCACTAATCGGATATTGTTGATTCCAATCGGTTGTATATGAATAATTTACATATGAACAAGTACCCGGTATCTGTTGAATTTCGGCCGAAAATCCACGATATGGACGATCATTTTTTGAATCCGAATGAAATGTTAAACGTATATGTGTAGTATTCAGTGGAAAATTTATAACACCTATTAAAATAAAAGAGGAAAATTCACTAAAAACAAAACAAAACAAAAAAAAATTTAATCCTTACGTCTTGTATTTCGCAACATTAGACCACAAAGACGTTCACCTTGTTGTTGTTGTGGTTGTTTCGTTTGATTCAATGGTTTAATACTTGTAATACCAAGATCAAGATAATCATCGGTGCATTGAGCCGTATCTTCGATGTCCATGTCCGAGATGGTAAGCTCAATCTGATAATGGAAATATATTTAATGATTAAAAAAAAATTTAAAAGAAATTTACAAAATCAATCAATCGATCAATGAAAAAAAAATCATAAATGAACATCAAAAAATGATTAATAATTGATTTCAATGAATAACTTTTAAATCGAATGATTGTTAATTATCATTATTATCGAGCTAATTACATGAATTATAGCCATCAATTTGATTAAATTAATATAATGTTTGTCAATGATTTCAACACATTGTCATAATCATCATTATAATCATCATCAAAATGATGACCTTGAAATTTGTAAGAAAAGAACGAAAAAAATTCATTCAATTTCGGTATCGAAAATTGGATTGAACTTTCTAATATTAGTTTTTTTTTCATTTGCCAAAAATAATCGGGATTTTCCCATTTTCAATATTTCACATTAATTTTTTTTCTTTCATTTAAATTCTTTGAAAATTGAAATAGAAATTTTCGTTTTTCCTAAATTTTCTATTTGAAGAATTTATTTTTTCATGAAAATAAAAATTTGTTTACCTGACAAACATCCGAACGATTTTTACCAATATAATATGAACAAATACGATTTAATGGATATTGTGCCGGATATTCAGGTGATTCAATAATAAAATGATAATCCTGTATAATGGAATCACATTGATAATTTGGTAATGGTGGTTCTTGTATATCGATTATTGGTTCTTGACTAATATGATATTGTTGATCCATTAATGGTTGTCGTTGAAAACTATTTGTACGTATTATACTTATTGGTTGAATATTTGAATCTGAAGCTTTAACAGTTTCATTATCCGATGATGATGATGGTAATGGATTACGACCTTCACCTATAAGTACATGATATGGATGTGTTGTTGTTGTTGTTGAATTTGAATTTAAATTTCGATTTAAAGATGGTTGCCATTGTTTTAATGGATATTGTTGCTGTTGTTGTTGTTGTCGTGCTGATGATAATAAAGATGATGTTTGATTATTTGGTTGACGATTTTTTTTACGTAAAAAAAATGTTTGATTTGATGCCAATAATTTACCATTTATTGTAGGCAATGAATATGGATTAAAATTCGGTTGTTGTTGATGATCAATAGAATAATGATAATATTTGATTTCATTTATACAATCAATTGAATCGATTATGATGGATAAAATTACTATCGTCAATATCGTTGTCGTTGATAACCACCATGTTAATGATAATAATGGTGATGAACGAATGCGATTGGCGATTATAAATGACGCCATCGCAATCAAATTGTGTTTGTATATTTGACACACGATGTTTTTTTGTTGCAACGAAGGAAAAAAACGTTCGATTTGATTCCAAATTCAGAAAAAACAACCACTGTTATCTGTTGTGATTGTGATCCAATTTTAGTTACGATTACTTCATTTTTTCTCTTGTTTTTTTTTGGAAAGTCAAGTGTTTTTAAAAATAAATTACCTTCATAGAGGAAAAAAATGATAATTTTATTTGATTTGAACAGAAGAAATTTTAACGATTTTCAATGATTTTCATTTGAATTCACAAAAAAAATTAAAAATTCATTACACTATATGATCATCATTCATTTAAAGATTATAAACAAAAAATGGCAATGATGATGATCAAAATTAAATGATTAACACAGGAAGAATGATTGAATTAAAAGAGAGACAATTAAATCAAACGACGGTGAAGAGAAAGTGATCTTGTTTTGGAAAATGAAAAATCTCACTCAAAAAGTGTACTCAATTTGTATTAACGAAGAAATTTTTTGTTTCACATTTTACAAATGTCATCATTATCATCGACACAAACAACAAGAAAAACATGAATTTTTCGAAGAAAAAAAATTGAAATTGAAATCTTGATTCAATAAGAAATTTGTTCCAAAAAACAATAACCAAAACTTAATTTGATGATGTTGAATCGATAAAAAACAATCAATGTGTTTGGATGATGACTTGTATGGATAATTTTTTCAATGTGTCAAACAAAACAAAATCAAATACAAATATTGACAAGATTCCGACACACACACATATATCACATTGGTCATCCCGTTGTTGTTTCAGTTGTTGGTGACAATCGATAAAGTTTCTATAACAATTTGATCATGGGAGAAAATTTATTATTATTTTGTTTGTTTGTTTGTTTGATTTAATTGATTAATGATGAATGGAAAAAATAGAAAAACAAGAAATGAATGAAATATGGTAAGTATATACGAGAAACAGAACAATATGAATTTTCGATATAATCGATACAATCGATAATTTTTTTTCTCTTTCATTGATTTTTTCTTTTGTTTCTAGAAAACAAAACCCGAATCAAATTCAATTATAAATGTTGTATGATGTCCATCATATATTGTGTGATTGATGAATCAGATGATAAGAATGATGATGATGAAAAAATGAACATCAATTCATTCAAACGATCAAATCAATATTGAAATGATTCTATCAATAAATTCGATTGATTGATTGTTTGAATAAAAAAAAAACATCGACAAAGACGACGACTATGACGAAAGAAGAAAGAAACGAAAAAAAAAATTTAGTAAATTAAATTATCATTTACTGGGGAGTGTTCGTTTCGTTTCGTTTGCATCCACCAAACAATATTAACATCAGGTAACCATCATTACTCTTTTTTTTTCCAAGCCAATATTTCTCTCACTCTCACTGTTTTTTGCATTCACTTTCCTTTAAAATTTCTCCTTTCTCTCTCTCTCTCTTTCACACCGGTTTCTGGTTTTGTTCCAGTGTTGTTGAAAGTAACAAAAGCTATATCACGATTTGAAAATTTAAAAGAAAAAATTTTTCATTTCAATTGTAAATAAATTATTTGTACAATTGATTTCATACGGATAATGATAATCAATCAATTAATCCATTTGATAAAAAGTCAATGAAATATTCAAAACAAAACAAAACAAAAACAATAAAAGATTGTTGTTGTTGTTGTTTGAATCTTCTATTCTTTGATGGAATCGATAAAGTGATGAGGGAGAGAGGGAGGTTTTTCTATCATTCATTCATCATCATCATAATAAGTGTGTAATGTATGTTTTTAGCCGGTATGTATCAATCAAGGTTTTTCTTCTTCATTTTTTCTTTTCAATAAATAAATGTCGTAAGAGATGTGTGTTTGTGTAAGGTTTTTTTTGTTGTTTTTGTTGTTGTTGAATCGTCATTTTGTAGAAGAAAAAAAATTCAAGGTAAAATACCTTTTTTTTCAAAATATTCGTTTCGATATCAATTTTGTACCTGGAACCAATCAATCAATTGATAATGATGAAGAAATGGTTTTTTATCAATGGAAAAATAACTTTCGTAAATATATTTCATATATTTTGGTTCTGGTTTTAAGATGATGAAATGAAAATTCGAGATAAATTGAAAACTTGAAAATGAACGAAAATCGAATTATTCATTTTCTGCAATCGATTCTGTTGGTTTATCAACAATAGATAACGATAATCGATACTATCGATATGTTACGATAAAACAAACATTTAAAATTCGCAAGTAAATTAATCAAAAAAAAATTGATAAACAAGAATTAATGAATAATTTTTATACGAACATTATAATGTCTTTTTCTTTTTTTTTCTTTCGTTTCAGATATATTTGCGTGTTAACAATAGACAATCATCATTATCATCTTCAACTAAAAGAATTCATTATCCATTTTTTTTAATCAATTTAAAAATTTTTTAAAATAAAAAAATTTAAACAAAACAATAAAAAAAATCAATAAATTTTATTTGTGAACAACAGCGAAGAAGAAAAGCTTGAATGGAAAAAACCCCTTGATGATGATGATGGAGATAAAAATGAATGAACAGCAGAAAATCTTTGAAATAAGCATAGAAGTGGATGAAGAAAAGGAAATTTTGATTTATTATTCCATTAGAAAATTGAAATTGTCATCATCATCATCGTCATCATCTACAAACATAGTGTTGTTGTCCATAACCAATGTATATTTATGTTTCCTGTTGTTCCATTGTTTTTTCTTTGATGCTTATTTTCATTTGTTCATCATCATCATCACTACTCATTACAAAGATTGAGGTATTAGTTTAAGTGTAATGATGGTTTGCTCCATACACAAAATGGCACTACACCATCATTCATTCATTCACTATTATCAATTTTTTTTCTTCTTCAAATTAACAACGATGTAAACCTACTATTGAAATTGACATTGCACGAACCATTGGGTGACATTGGCCATCAAAAGAAATTTACAAAAAAAAATCCATCATGATGAATAAAAAGCCAATGTTTAGATTTTTCTTTCTTTGTTGTCATCGTTGTTGTAATCATCATTATCATCATCGTTGTTGTCGTTCCATGGACATCGACACAATAATCAATGAAAATAATACAATACGATCATCATCAATGAATCGATAAAGATATTATTATCATTATCATCATCATCATCATCATCATGATTATTGTTTGTTAGTTTGTTTGTTATGTTTTTTTTCTTTGAACAACCAAAAAATAATTCGTAAACATAATAATAATAATGTCGTTGTGATTTGATTGATTTTAGTTGTCGGCTTTTCCTGACATTCATTCATTCATCCATTGGTTGAATGAATTCGATGTAAAACTTTTGTTGTTTTTTTTGGTAATTAATTCAGCTTATCTATAGAGAATAGAGAGAAAAAAACATGGTGAAATTGATTGTCAACAAAAGAATTTTTCATTGTTTTTGATACATCGATCAAATTGATACATCATTTTATTCCCCCCCCAAAAAAAAACGTTCGAATCGAACGATTCGATTCGATTTCATGGCCATATAGCTTGGTTATCATCATTATCATCGACCATTTAAACATATTTTCTGGATTGTATATTTTAGGTACATTTTCTGGAATAAAAGTAATTTTTTCTATAAATGATGAATAAAACTTGTGAATTTTCGATTTGTTTGTTTGGCCGTAAAAAAAATGAGTAGCAACAATGTCAATATTGCAACAAAACAAAATCGTTTGCTTTGTTTTTTCTGATCACAAATCAAAATAAAATTTCATAAGGATTTTTTGTTTTGTTTCTTAAACATTTTTTAATAGGAAAATTTCAAAATTTACATAAAAATGAATGAAAGAGATAACACATTTCATTTTCACTTTGCATTTTATGTTTGTTTACACCATTTTTTGTTGTTGTTTATCGATAGTATCGATAGTTTTCAGAAACAAAATATTACAAGATCAACGAAAACAAAAGGAAAATGTCAATTTTGAAAGAGAGAGTGAAAAACAAAATGAAAATTTGGAACAAATTAGTTGCTAAAATAGGTAATGAAAACAAATGGCAACAAACAAAAAAGGTTGACAAGCAAATTGGTGTCAAAAATTTCAAATGAACCAAATTAAAAAAAAAAATGTTTCAAATATGGATCCACCGATCGGTTTCTGTTTACATATTTCTCACCACCTGTTTTTTGGACTTTTTTTGAGAATGATGTCAATGTTAAATGTTTGTCCCGATTGTTTTCTATTTCCATTTTTTATATTTTCTATGAATTCAAATAATTTGAATCTTTTATCAAAACATTTCAATGATGACACTGTATAAATTGTTTGATTTTTTGTTTTTAGTTCTCCGTGTTGAACAAATAGAATGACTTTCTTTCCAGACAATTTTTTTTTAGGTTCTGTTTGTTTGTTGAAAAATGTGAATGGAAAAACTCTTTTTTTTCCGAAACAGAAAATAAAAAACAAACAATCAACTTCGATCAATAAATTATTATCAATGTGTGTGTGTCGGTGTAACAGGTTGATATTGAAAATTGGAAATTTTTGAAAATTCAATAAATTGAAAATTGTGGAATCGCAACAAATTGCCAAAATGATGATAATAATAATGATCAATAAAAAAAAAATTTAAATTTTTTTTTATTACCATCATTATGATTGGCTGGGGATTTTTTTTTATTGATCATTGATCATATGACCAAATTGAAACAATAAAAGTAACCACATAAATAAATGATGATAATAATTTTATTGGAAAAATTGATTTGATATCAGATGAAAAAAAAACAAACATTTTTTTTTGCCACCGTTGTGTTTCCGGAATCTTTCATTTTACATTTTTTTACATTTCATTGAAATGAATCATTCAAAAAAAAAGATCATTATCAACATTATCGGTGATAATTAAATTTATTGGTAAAATCAACCTTGAAATGTCAAATGATCATTATGATATCGTTGTTGTTGTTGTTTGTCATCGAAACATTCGAAAAAAATTCAATGGAATGATCATGTCATTTATGGACATGTAACATGTTTATACAACCAAAAAAAAAAAAAACGTTCGAAATTATCATTTTTTTTCGAAGTTTCAAAATTATAATCATAATCATTATGCTTGTGTTTGGGACATTAATTATGTTTCATTGATAAAATTATGGAAAAATTTCACTTATGTCAATTGATTCTGATGATAATGATGATGATGGTTGTGATAAAAATAGCCATTTGGAAAAAGAAATTCATATCGATTCCGGTTTGTGAAATCATAAATATTCTTTTATTACAATCTAATCTAATTCTAAATTCATATTTTAGTAAAATTGGTTAATCAATATGCGATTATTATCAAGAAATATAAAATGTAGAATTTATTTAATGGCGATAAACATTCATTCACACAAACACCTACCAATAAACTGTCAACAACAGCAGCAGGTATGAATGAAATAAGAAATTTTCGAAATTAATCAAATAATTTTCAATGATTATTAACAATAGAAAATGATCCAGATACATTTTTTTCAACTATATTTATAACCATACAAATCATTTGTATCATATTTTTTTAATATAATGAAATTCAAGTTCATTGTCAACAACAACAACAAAGAATATAAGACAAAGAAAATTGTTTCGCCACTAAGAATGGATTTTTTTTCTTGTGTACTCAAATCACTACAATAGATTTGATTCTGAATAATTTTTTTTTTCTGAAACCAAAAATATCGATGATGTCATAATCATGTAAATGTGACTTTTTTTCGATTGAAAATCCTTAACAATTCGATTTGAATACGAAATAAATAGTAAGATGGTGGGCCGAAACAAAAAAAAAGAGGATAATCTTCATTTGTCGTCATCATCAATTGATTTGACGACAGAAACATCTGATATTCGATTATTATTAACTAAAAATATTGAACATGAATTATGTTATTACCGGACACCGGAACATTATAGAAAATATAATTTCTCAACAACAACAACAACAACAGCAACAATAATATCAACAAAATGACATTTGCAGATATTATGGATTAATGAATTTTCATTAATATTCAAATCTATGAATGAATGAATGAATGATGAAATAATAGAATTAGCCATTTCATTAAAAAAAATTTGTGTAGGGGGAAAGTGGATTTAATCATTCAAGATTGAATTGATTTTCTAACAATCATCCCCTATAGTTAATTTATTAACATCAAAATAGCTGATTAGAATTATCACATGCATGATAAGATATGTTTATATTTATAAGTTCATAATTCATATTTTGTATATTGGAATATTTTCTTCGTTTTGTTGTTGTTGTTGTTGTTCAATGTTTCCAACCAGAATATTCTGGCCATAATCAATTGAATCGGTGGTTATGATTATGATGATGATGACGATGATGGAATTAGAAGAAACAAGAAGAAGAAAGAAAATCAAAAATTTTTTTCTGGTTTCGAGCAGATATATATAAAGTCATTCTGAATTCTGATTTATCATCATATCATATCAATCATATTGATGGAAAAAAGAAATTCTAATTGAATTGTTATTAGTTTGTTTGTTTATTTATTATCGAAAACTTTAATCTGTTTATTTCAAAGAATTTTTTCTTAAACATTGAAAATTTCATTCAACGAAAACAATCAAGTGATACGACAATGATCAAAATGACCAAACGTAATAATAATTGTTGTAGCTGTATATCACCAATATCATTGGCAATTATATTTTTAATCATCAATGTTTGGCAACAAAATCATTTGTTGATTGATGCACAATCATCATTAAAAATTAATGATATAAAAATCGAAGATGATTATGTACAAGCAGCAGCAGCTGCAGCTGCACATCATCGAAATTCAAATTCATTTCGTTCAAAATTTCCAATTTTTAATGTTAGCGGTTTATTATCCGTTTATTCAATCGAAGGTATCGATGGCCATTATTGTAATCGTACATATCGTATGTATTTGAATCAATTATTTTTAGATTCCTGTGTGGAATCAATGCGTTTATTATGTGGTGGTGGTGGTGGTGGCAATAGTGTTGGACGTCGTAAACGTAATATATCACCATTTTTATCCGAATTATATTATCCAACAAAACAATCATCACTTGATATGGATGAATTATCATCAATCAATATGGAAAATGTTGATGATACAGATGTGCGACAACAACAGCAACAACAACAACATGCTGAACAAATATTGGATCTAATTCGACGAACATCAGCTGCTGCTGCTGCTTCAAAATCATCATCATCATCATCCTCGAATCCATCATTCGAAACATCAATGATACGTAAACGTCGTAATCATTATCATCATAATAATCATCATTTTAATCAACAATATTCAATGATTGCTATTGAATCACAAAATATAATGGAAAATTGTTGTAATGATTTGGAAAAATATGATTGTCGTGAAAATGTTTTGCGAGAAAAATTTCAGAAAATCTGTGCACCAAATCTAGTGACAACTGTTGAAGTTTTTCGTTCATAAACGAACACACACACAAACATATCTTTGATCTTTGAACATCAACATCATTATCGACTAGATGATCCCACTTCCACTTCCCTCTTTTCTATCCACTCGCTTCGAATTTAGTAGCTAAATTTCAATTTCACAAAAATGAAATTATCATCTCAAAATTCAAAAAACAAACAAACAAACATTAATTTCGTATTTCACAACAACAAATTAGATTTAATTATTTTTTTAAGATTTAAAAAATCAATCAATTAACAATCTCAATTAACATAATTAACGAATGAATAAAGATTAGAAAACAATGAATGAAAGAAAAATATTCAATAATTTTCAAGCCAATTGAAGGTGAAAATATATTTAACTTTTTTTTAAAAAAAAATAATCAATTAATCAATTACTTATTACAATGATAATAATGATTTTCTGAAAAATTACAATCAATCAATCAGTCAATCTCAATGATCAATCAATTTATCAATAATTATGATGTGAAATAAGAAAAAAACAACAACAAATTAAATGAATGAAAGGTGTTTTTTAAACAAAACTACATGATTTTTTTAAAATAAAAAAAAACATTCAAATTTTTTTTTGAATTCATTGAATCGAAATAGAATTTTTGGAATCAAATGATGTTAAAATAGAAATTCGAATTTAAAAAAAAAACTAAATTTTTTTTCTTGGTTGCTTGTTTGGACATTATCACAGATGATGATTCAATTCAATGGATAAATTCATTGTTGTTGTTGTTTTTTTTGTTCGCTTGTTTCGTTTCGTAGGTTTGTATTCAATTTACAATCAACGGATTCAATCATTGTTCCGGTGAATTTTGCCTTTTTTCGGGGGTGTTGAAATGTTTTTGATTTATTCCAATTGTTGTTGATTTTGAAAAGAAAAAAATAAATTCAATTTAACTCATTGTGTGATTCCACTGTTACGTTTATACGAATGTAATAACGAGGTTTGAAAATTTTGAATAATAAAAATGTTTGTTTAGTTCTTTTTCTTGGTAACAAAAGATGTTTACAAATCATTCATACCACAATCACCGAGATACAAATAAAACGAAAAATTTACTTTGAAAAAAAATAAATGAATTTGATAAATCTAAATTTCAAAAAAATAAAAGGAAACAAACCAAAATTCTGGCCAAACAATGAATTCGAATGAATCAAATCAAAAAATTTTTTTTTTTTTTTTGAATATGAATGGAAAAAAAATACAAATCAAATTTCCGATTCAATTTTCTGTGATTGTTGAAAGAATCTTTT